CTTTTAAATTTCCACACTGCGCCTTCCGCTGAGCGTCGGAATGCCTGTTGTTTTTGCTTCTAGTTGAAGAGACTCTCCTCAGCCAGCCTTTCCGTGGTTCTGGTTGATGTCCGCTCCGACTTTTAGTTGTATTTTTGAAGTGGTTGTCCACGGGCGGCAGTCTCCGGTGTTTACCACCTATGCCGCCATCTTCGATTCTCCCCAGAAGAACATTTTTATTGGAAAACACCTTCAGGCAGTTCCTAACTGTATGTGCGCTGAGTAAATGTCTTCTGTTTTGTTCTCTGTTAACCCTCCTCCTGCCCTAGACAGGCTGTCCCCGACCCGCACAGTTACAAGTTTTTTTTGTTTTAATAAGAAACTAGAGGCCTGGTGCACAAAATTCGTGCACAGGTAGGGTCCCTAGTCCTGGCGGGCGATCAGGGCCTTCTTTGTTCTGCATCACCCCCGGGTGGTCAGCACAGGTCATAGCGAGCTGTCGAACTCCCAGTCTCCCGTTGGAATGCCAGAAGGGACACTTTGCATATTAGCCTTTTATATATATAGATATATATATAGATGGGCCTGCTCATTATGTGGAGTAACTTTACAGGTTTATTCTAGAGATCTGCCTTATTCTTTGTGGGGCTCCCTGCCATTTCTCGCCATAGATACCTCCCCGCTCCCTGCACTTCGGGCAGCTGGGGGCACAGGCCTCTCAGGTGGAGCAGATGATGTGTGTGTGACTCAGTGGGCTTTCCCTTGTGAATCCTGGTGGTAGCTTGTTGATTTAAGGAAGCCTTTCTACATGCCCGAAGTTTGGTGTCCCTGCTGTATCATACTTGTGTATAGTTTGACCTTTTGTTGAAAGATACTTTTGCAGTGTTTAATTTTTTAAAGTTGAGTGTCTTAGTACCTGAGGCTTAGATGGAAGTTCGTTCACTTCAGGGTGGTTATAAATTTGTTGTTTAAGCATTTTACAAGTGCATTCTGCTTGTGCTTTTTGGGTAAGGTGAAAGCCAAGGGCAGGTGTAGAATATTAGAGCATCATATTCAATAGTTGGGGCTACTTATAGACTAGAAGAAAACACACACTTTTTTTTTTTTTTTTTTTGTAATCTTCACCCCGGGATATTTTCTCCATTGATTTTCAGAGAGTGGAAGGCAGGGGAGAAAGAGACAAACATCCCTGTGAGGGAGTCACATTGATTGGTTGCCTCCTGCACACTCCTGACCGGGGCCAGGAATGAACCTGCGACCCTTCCGTGCTCTGGCCGACGCTCTAACCACTGAGCATGTGGGCCAGGGTGAAAACACACTGTTTTGGTTACAAACTAACCAGCTTAAGAGAATTACAATTAGGTGACTGCGTTGGATCTGTAAGAGACCCACATGGAAATGTTAAAAGCACTGACTGACTGCAAGCACTCCAGTTCCTGTTGCTTTAGGTGAAGGGCTGGGACAGAGGTGGTGACCAGGATGAAAGGCCTGGCCCGGGGAGATCAGGTGCCCCTTGGGCCGGTGGAGAGACGTTTCTGTCCTTGGGAGAGAGTGGTAGCTCTTTGGGTGCAGAGGAAGGAGGTGCACTCGTTGCTGGAGCTGATGCTCCCCCTTAGGGACTAATGAGGGGTCACTGTCCTGGCTCAGGAGTTCGGGGCAGCCCTTGGAAGCCAGAGGCTGCAAGGCCCAGGGATGAACAGATGGATGTGGTCAACATGGGGGGCTGGCAAACCCCCACTCCCAGTGTCTGAGAGGAGAGGCAGTAAGAGGACACACTGGCTTCTCCCTATAAGCTCCACCCTTTTACCATCCCCCCACCTTGACCCCGGGACCTCTGACCCTGCCCCCCAGTTGTATGCAGCACTCAGGTCTTTCTGCCATTGCTCATTTTCCAAACTCCTATCAGGTTGCTTCATTCTGTTCCATTTTGCACCTCAGTCATTTCTGTGCTGTGTTCTGCTCTCCCACTTGTGCCGGAGCTTGGAGGACGTGGAGGGGGTCATCTTGCTTGTCATTCTCAGCCCAGTGTGTCTCCTGGACCAGCCCCAGACCAGCAGCAGCAGCATCACCGGGGAACTTGCCCTCCAGGTGATTCTGACCCATTTTCCCGTGTGGGAGCCCTGGCCCAGGCCCAGGCCAGTTCACAGGCGGATGCTAATGCGCAGTGGGTTTGAGTTCGGTGGCCACCTTGGTCTCACACACACAGACTGGTCTTGTTGTGCAGTAGGTCCGAGTTTGGTGGGCCCAGTTTTGTTTCGGGTGAGAAAGGGGCAATTTCAGGCTCTCCTGGAGCCTTAGGGATAGGGCAGTCTTTTGTTGTTGTCCCACTTATGTCTGCATTCATTGGTTGGTTTTTACATGCGCCCTGACCAGGGGTCAAACCCACAGCCTTGGCTAACCAACTGAGCTGCTAGGCCTGGCTGGTTAGGGACAATCTTGTGTTCCTCCCTGTTCCTCCCATCCTGGTTCAGTGGTTCCACAGCCCTCTGGTGGAGCTACGTCCGGGGGCCGGCGTGCACCACGCCATGTGCCCCTGCGCCATGCCATCAGGAGCCCTGTTTGAGTGACACTGTTCAGGTCACTAATTGTTGTGACAAGTTTGAGAACCATGGATGTCACCCTGACTTTGGCAAGTGCTGCAAGGCTGGCAGCCATCCTGGGGATGGCTTAGTGCACTCCTGCGCAAGGAGGAATCTGCAAGTGGTGTCAGGCCGTCCCCGGGGGCCTCTTCCCTAGCCTGGGAGAGGGCCTGGCTTTGTCACTGGGTGTTCTCTGAGGTTTTCCCTTTCACCTCTTAGCTGTTCTTAAGGTGAAGCCAATTTCTTCTTATTAAATGTCCTCCAATATTTTAAGGTCAGTTCATGTTTTAATTCATGAAGAAGGTGACATGCTCTGAGTGACATAGTAGTGTCTATTTGGTGCTCGGTGCTGGGGAACACGAGGCCTTGGCCTGACACTAGTTGCCGTGGCAATGGTACTGGAGAAGAAACAAGTGATGCGCAGAGCTACCCTGAGGGGCCGTTAGGGAACAAATGACACTTTAGATTTAGCATTAGGGAAGTCGGGAGCCCTCTGCTGCAGTGCAGCGGTGGTGGCTGTTTGGAGTGAGTTCTGTAGAGAAACTTCAAGGCTGCCTCAGCTCAGGTGCGCTGGTGCCCTCTCCCCAGCCTGTGGGGTTCTTATGCCTGACTTGCAGTACATGCATAGGTAGGTCTGAAGGTTGGAACTGCTTTTGTAAAGTGGTGGCTTTCCTAGTAGCTTAAATTGTTTACTTCGTAATAAAAGTTACCACCTTATCTTTTTTCAATGTACACTTCAGTGGTATTACGTCCATTCACATGGCAGCCACCATCACCATCCATCTCCAGATCTTTTCCATCTCCAAACTGAAATTCTCTCCCCATTGAACAGTTGCTGCTCCTTCCATAATTTTTGATATAAGCAGATATATAGGTATTCTTGTTCCCCATCTTCCCATATAAACACCCCTTTCTTCATGTTTTTCCCTCACAGTACCTCCTGGCGCCCCTTCCCTGGTTGTCCATACTGACCCCCCTGTTCCTCAGAGCTGCACTGCCATCTTGTTTATTCCAGGGCTTTGGTTGTCTGCAGCTTTGAGGGTGACAGACAGCCCTGCAGAGATCGCGTTGGGGGCCGTCTTTTTCTCTTTTGCCAGCTGTCTCTGGGCCGGTCTCTAGAAGTGGGTCATTCGGGGAGAGAGTAAATGCACCGCCGTCTCGTTCCGTGTCACCAGACGCCCCTCCAGAGAGGTCGCCGCGCTCTGGCTTTCTTCCGGCCATGGCGTCTGCTTCTCCGCAGCCCCCTCTGGGTTCTGTCCTGGAGCAGGGGGCCTCGCATGACAACTGCCTCCGTGGTCATGATCCATGACATTTTTTGTCTTGTAGATTCTTTGTTTATTTCCCTAGTCTATTGTTCTGTGAATTCCTGGTCTCTTTATTTCTTCAGGTTCTTTATTTATGATGATAGCAGTCTGTATGAGTAAACGGGGAGGGGTCCTGTGTTCTAGGTCAGGTTCCCTGGCGTGGCAGGGGGTTCTCCCTGACATCCTCAGAAACTGTGTTACATGGCAGCGCTGTGTGAGGACACAGGGAAGGGCTTGGAGGAGCTTGAAATAAATATAAAATATATATAAAATATATCATATATATATTAAACTATAACTTTATAATAGGGATTTTAGGCAAGGGTATGTTAATTAGGATATAGTAATTATGCTAATATTTTGTCATGTCACTTACATCTCCCAAAAATGTTTCTTGGAACTCCTTGTTGGGAACACAAAGGAAACAGTCATCCTCTCTGTGGGCACGTAGAGTGCTGTATGTATGCATAACATCTCCTTTTCACACTAATACATAGTGATATGATAGTAATTCTTTTTTTAAAGAGTTTTAATTGGTTTTTAGAAAGAGAGGAAGGGGGAGAGAGAAACATTGATGTGAGAGCGATACATCAATCAGCAGCCTCCCCCAGTCCCCTACCAGGGATTGAGCCTGCAACCCTGGGCCTGGGCCTTTGGGAATAGAACTGGCAGCCTCTTGGTACATGGGACGACGCCCAACCGACAAGGGCAGTATTTGCCATTTTCAAACGTACACTTCAGCGGCATCAGTTACATTCACAGTGTTAGACAACCATCATCACTCTTTCTAAATTCTTTCCATCACCACAAACAGAAATTCTGCCCCCATGAAAAGTCACTCCCCATTCGCCCCTCTTCCAGCCCTTGGTAACCTCCTCTGTTTCCTGTCCCGATGAATCTGACTGTTCTAGGGACCTCATGTGAGTGGAATAGTGTCCTTTTGTGTCTGGCATCTCTCACTTAGCATGAGATTTTACAGGTTTCATCCATGTAGCATGTGTCAATACTTTGTTCTTTTATGGCTGGATAGTATTCTGTTGTCTGCAAAGACTACGTTTTGCTTATCTGTTCATCAGCTGATGGGCATTGGGTCCTTTCCGGCTCTGAGCTAGTGAGCATCATGCTGCCACGATTGTGGTGCACAGACATCTCTGGAGACCCTTCATCCAGCTCTTCTGGGTGTGAATCTGGGCTCCCAGCGGCCTTCTAACCTGCCTTCTGCTTGTTTGGCTCCAGTGACCTGGGGACTTACCTGGCGTCGTGTGTCTGTCTCCCCTTAGGCCCTGCCCACCCAGGCGCGCAGTTAGGTCTGGGGTGAGCTGCCTGCACTCTGAGCCTAGTTTCCTCAGAAGATAAGGGTTTAGAATGGATGGTTACTAAGTGGTTTGTTACTTTACTTTTGGGTCCTGTAAGGTGGCAAAGCGCCACCCATCTGTGCTCTGTGTGGGGAGCCATGCCCACAGGGCCCCCCAGCATCCAGGTCCAAGTCCACCGCCTGTCAGACAGCAAGGTGGCAGTGGGCCTTTCCCAAGCCTCACTGTCCTTGGGTTTGGGGGCTTGTAGCATCTGGCCCTGCCTCGACTCTCAGGCTGCTCAAGGGGTCATTGCCACAAGGATCCCTGTGTCTCTCTTCCCCTCCTGCCGGGTGCCTTGTCTGGGGGACCCACCTCGCGGCAGGCGCAGTCCCCATGTTGCACATGGACTGAACCCTTCTCAGCCACGTCTGCAGCTGCTGCCTCCCTGCAGCGTGGGACCGGGTCACTGCTCGGCAGCCTGAGACCGTGTGACCCTCTCAGGGAGCGAGCGGCTCACAGCCGCCCCTGGCCTGTGTGACTGCCCCTCTCGTCCCTCCATCCCCATTCGCTTCTCTCCTGGCCTGTCTCCCACCAGCGTCCTCCTCCAGCCATGGCTCCCATGTTTCTCCCCAGACTCCGTCCCCCCCTCCTTCAGGTGCCTGGATGGGGGATGGGAGCGGCCACCCACTCTGTATTTGGTAACGCTTGTCAGGAAACGAGTGACGTGGCTGAGGCCTGGAAGTGAACTTTGTTTTTCCACACTTTGTTCAAGAAATTATCCAGGATGGTTTTCAGGGAAACTCGGTGTTGTGTGTTCTACCACGTGTAACTGAGGGATGTGGCGGGGGGGGGGGGGTCGGAGTGCCCTGGGCAAGGCTTCCAGATCAGGGGCAAGTGGTCCGTCAGTGATGTCCATCCTTCGGGAGAGCAGATAGCTGAGGGAAAGAATAAAAGAGCCAGAAGTGGAGCAGGTTGCGCTGAGGTTGTCCCCAGGCCCTAAGGCCCAGACGGCCCGTGTCCCCCCTCTGCTCCCCAGGTGTCCGTACCTGCACCGGACAACCGGCGACACCGAGCGCAAGTACCACCTGCGCTACTACAAGACGGGCACGTGCATCCACGAGACCGACGCCCGGGGCCACTGCGTGAAGAACGGGCCGCACTGCGCCTTCGCCCACGGCCCCCTGGACCTGCGGCCCCCGGTGTGTGACATCCGGTGAGTGGGCGTCCCGCCCCGGGCAGGCGGGGAACCAGCTCACTTCCCCAGAGTTTCAGGCATCACTGGTCCTAAGCAGCTCTTTTCCTGGGCTTTGATTTTATTCTAAAAAGTTTCCTTCCTTCTGACTCGCAATGTGGAGCTCCCTAGGGGGTGAGAGCGATGAGCGAATCCTTATGAAACACCACCCAGCTCTCAAGTCACTAGGATTTGGGTTGAGACCGTTGTCCCAGGACAGGGGGGTGCCCGAGGGACGCAGGATACTGTCCTGAGCCCTCCAGGCTGCCAGCCTCTCCAGGGACATATGGGGGCTCCTTAAAGTGGTAGAACCGAGTGAGTCTCTCACCTTCGGGAGGGGCTTGGACACACTCCAGAGCCGTAATCGCTGTGTTGTTTGGTCGCAGGGAGCTGCAGGCCCAGGAAGCCTTGCAGAACGGCCAGCTCGGCGGTGGGGATGGCATCCCTGATCTGCAGCCTGGGGTCTTAGCCAGCCAGGCCATGATCGAGAAGATCCTGGGCGAGGACCCCCGGTGGCAAGGTAACCCCATGGCCGCCACTGAGGGTGGGCAGGGGAGCCCTGAGCACTGTTTGTAAAGTGACCTCCGCAGTGGACCTCATTGCCCTCGTTGGTCGATCAGATGGGGAAACTGGGACTCATTGAGTCGAGTACTTTACCCTCGGTCCTGGGGGCTGTGGGGGCTGTTGGGACTGAGGGGCTCTGAACCCAGGCATCCCGCCCCCCGGCCACTTCACACCACGGCTTCTCTGGGGGGAGGGTGCACAGCTGGCACAGCTCCTTCCCACATGGGCCCTCCCAAAACTGGGTTGCTGTTCATGGCGCTGCCTGCCCTGTCCTGTGGGCCTCTGCGTGGCCTTCAGATCAGCAGCCTTAGGTCCCTGGGGTTTGTTTGAAATATGGCCGTATCTCTTGGGACTGTGGGGCCCTACCCCTGGCAGCCTCCACAGATGATGGCGATGGGCAGTGAAATCTTTTTTTTTTTTGTGGTAAAATACACATCACATAAATTTGTCATTTTAACCACTTTAAAGTGAACGATTCAGTGGCATTTAGTCCATTCCCAATGTTGTGCGACCAACACTCTCTAATTCTAGAACATTCCATCACCCTGGACGGAAACCCAGTCCCCATTAAGCAGTCCCTCCCTGGTCCCTGGCCCCACTGGTTTGCGTTCTGTCTCCTTGGATTTGCCTGTTCCGGAGCATCCCAAAGAGCAGTGAGGGTTTAAGAAAACGCCTCTAAGTAATGCTGTGTCTCCCCCAACTTCCTTCACTGACTCTCACATGCATGAACCACGCTGCGGGACTGTAGTCCGTGAGCAGTGAGTTCCTCTGCTCACAGAATGTCTGTGCTGGGGCTGTGGTTCCAGGGGTGAATTAGTAAAGGTGATGGCACAGGCCTTTCCGGATTCCCCTCCCGCCTCCTGCTCCCTCGCTCTGGCCCTGGCACTGTGTGTGGCACCTGCATGGCCAGCACTGAGGACTCGGGACTGGGCCCCCAGCTGAACCAGCACTGAGGACCATGGCCATGGCCTCGTCTGGGATGTGGAGGGGGCCCAGGGACCCTACTCCAAGTTTCAGGGCGACCGCGTGTGCTGTTGAGGTCCTCCCCATGTTGTGATGTCACTGCTGGGGGCAGATCTCCCCATGGGAAACGCTGTGTGCCCACAGCTCCCCGCTTCCTAGCATCCAGGATAAGTGCTTCACTGGGGATTGTTCTGTTTTTCTGGAAAACACCTTTGAGAACGTTCCATTTCTTGTTTCCCAGCTGGTAGGCCTCCCTGATCGGAAAATCCCTGACTTCTACCTGCTGAAGCCGGTGCTCTGGGTCACAGCACAGGTGTGGGCGACCGTCCCCAGCACCATCAGGGGCTGAGCTTGAGGAAGGGCAGTGGGAGGAGGGGATGGCAGGCTGGCCCGAAGCTTCGCAGGGCCCTACGGAGTAACCTTGGTGCCTGCGCCTGGGTTTGGGTCAGGAGTCTGTCTGGTTCACGTGCTCTGGCTTCCGTTTTCCAAGTGCTCGAGACCAGCGGTCACCAACCGGCGGTCCGCGGACCACTGGTGATCCCTGAGGCCCGAAAGGTTGGCGACCGCTAGGCTAGACACCACCAGTGGCGCTGAAACCACCTTCTTCTTCAGAAGAGCCATTGCACACTGTCTTTCTATGTTTTTGTTTTTCACCCATAGGTGGTGGTTTAGATTGTTAATTAGTAGATTTCATTTTATTTTATTTATTTTTAATATATTTTTATTGATTTCAGAGAGGGAGAGGGAAAGATAGAAACATCGATGATGAGAGAGAATCATGGCTTAGCTGCCTCCTGCACGCCCCCTACTGGGGATCGAGCCCACAACCCAGGCATCTGCCCTTGACTGGAATCGAACCCGGGACCTTTCAGTCCCCAGGCCAATGCTCTATCCACTGAGCCAAACAGCTCGGGCCGTAGATTTTATTTTTTAGGGAAGTTTTCGGTTTACAGAAAATTTGCACTTGCACGGATAGTACAGAGTTTCCATGTCCCCCTCCCAGGTTCCCTCAGTTTGAACATCTTGCATTGATGTACATTTATTACAGTTGGTGAACCAAGAGTGATACGTTATTATTAATCTCCACAGTTTACTGTAGGGTTAGCCCTGGTGCTGTCCATTCTCTGGATTTGGACAAATGTATAATGATGTGTATCTATTCATGTAGCATCGCACAGAGTAGTGTCACTGCCCTAAAAATTCTCTGTCAGCCTAGTCGTCCCTCTGTCCCCCTACCCCTGGAGACCACTGAGCCTTTCTCTTTTTAAAAATGTATTTTATGCGCCCTGGCTGGTTTGGCTCAGTGGATAGAGCGTCGGCCTGTGGACTCAAGGGTCCCGGGTTCGATTCCGGTCAAGGGCATGTACCTTGGTTGCGGGCACATCCCCAGTAGGGAGTGTGCAGGAGGCAGCTGATCGATGTTTCTCTCTCATCGATGTTTCTAACTCTCTATCCCTCTCCCTTCCTCTCTGTAAAAAATCAATAAAATATATTTTTTGAAAAAAAATGTATTTTATGGAAGGGAGAGGGAGAGAGAGAGAGAGAGAGAATCATTGATTGGCTGCCTCCTGCACACACCCTACTGGGGACTGTGCCCTGACCGGGAATTGAACCGTGACCTCCTGGTTCATAGGTCGACACTCAGCCACTGAGCCACACCAGCCAGATGACCACTGATCTTTACTCCATTGTTTTGTCTCGGGTAGTTTTGCCTTTTCCAGAATCATCCAGGTGTGGCCTTTTCAGACCGGCTTCTTTCACTTAGTAATATGAATTCAAGGTTCCTTCCTGTCTTTTCATTGTTTGATAACTCATTTCTTTTGTCACTGGATAATATTCCCTTGTGTGGATGGACTGTGGTTTATTTACCATTCACCTACTGAAGGACACCTGTGAGCCTCCGTGTCTCACGGTTCTTGTCATGCAGTTCATTTATGTGTGTTTCATGCCACTTGGCACAGGACCTCGTATCTGTTCTAGGCACTTGGTCAATACTTGTGAATAAATGTCTTACAATTTTTATTTCTTAAAGTCAGCTTTCTTGTTGCCCAA